GGATTGGGATCAGGGGATGGGATTGGGGAGAGTGGGATTGGGATCAGGGGATGCGACTGGGGAGAGTGGGATTGGGATCAGGGGATGGGATCGGGATCAGGGAATGGGATTGGTCAGGGAAAATGGGTTAGGGGACAGGAGAATGGGATCGGGGACGGGGGAATGGCATTGGGGACAGGGGAATGGGATTGGGGACAGGGATCTGTCAGGGGAATGGGATCGGGGAGAGTGGGATTGGGGACAGGAGAATGGGATTGGGGACAGGGATTGGGGATGGGAATGGGATCAGGGACAGGGGAATGGGACTGCGGATGGGGATCCGTCAGGGGAATGGGATTGGGGAGAATGGGATTGGGATCAGGGACAGGGATCCGTCAGGAGAACGAGACTGGGGAATGGGATTGATCAAGGGAATGGGATTGGTCAGGGGGAAAGAGGATTTGGGACAGGGATCAGTCAGGGGAATGGGATTGAGGAGAATGGGATCAGGGACATTGGGATCAATCAGGGACAGTGGGATCAATCAGTCAGAACGGGATCAGCCAGGGATAGTGGGATCAGGGAGAACAGGATCAGGGACATTGGGATCAGGGTGAATGGGATCAATCAGGGACAGTGGGATCAATCAGGACAATGGGATCAATCAGGGACAATGGGATCAGGGACAATGGGATCAATAAGGGACATTGGGATCAATCAGGACAATGGGATCAATCAGGGACATTGGGATCAATCCGGGAGAATGGGAGCAATCGGGGACAGTGGGATCAATCAGTCAGAACGGGATCAGCCAGGGATAGTGGGATCAGGGAGAACAGGATCAGGGACATTGGGATCAGTGTGAATGGGATCAATCAGGACAATGGGATCAATCAGGGACAATGGGATCAATCAGGGAGAACGGGATCAGGGAGAGTAGGATCAGTCAGGGACATTGGGATCAATCAGGGAGAACGGGATCAGGGAGAGTAGGATCAGTCAGGGACATTGGGATCAGGGAGAATGGGATCAATCAGAGACATTGGGATCAATCAGGGACAGTGGGATCAATCAGCCAGAACGGGATCAATCAGTCAGAACGGGATCAGCTCCGCTCAGCACTCAGCCCCATCAGAGCTCATTCAAACAGGGAATTTTGGGATTTTTCCCGGATTTTCCCCCTCCCGGGAGCAGCAAACACTGACTTGAGGCGGTGCAGGTCGGCGTGGGAGGCGTAGAGACCGCGGTCAAAGCGTTCCCGCAGCACCGCCCACCTGGTGGCACAGTAATCCTGCGGGAAAGGAAAAAAAACGGGAATGGGAATGAGTTCAAATGGGTTTGTACAGGGAAACAAAAGAAGTGGGAAAAAAATGGGAAAAAATGGGAAAAAATGGGAAAAAATGGGAAAAAAAAGGGAAAATGGTAATGATTGCAAATGGGGTTTGGGTTGGGAAAGGGAAAAAAAATGGGAAAAAATGGGAAAAATGGAGAAAAGGGAATGATTGCAGGGGGGGTTGGGCAGGAAAAGGGAAAAAATGGGAAAAAAATGGGGAAAAATGGGGAAAATGGGAAAAAGTGGGAAAAAATGGGAAATGGGAATGATTCTAGAGAGGGTTGGGCAGGGTAAGAGAAAAAAATAGGGGAAAATGGGAAAAAAATGGGAAAAATGGGAAAAGGGAATGATTTCAAATGGGGTTTGGGCAGGGAAAGGGAAAAAAAAAAGAGAAAAAATGGGGAAAAATGGGAAAAAAATGGGAATGATTGCAGGGGGTTTGTGCAGGGAAATGAAAAAAAGGGAAAAAGGGAATGATTCCAGGGGGGTTTGTGCCTGGAGAAGGAAAATCCCACTGGATAAAACACTGAAATACCAAAAACTACAAAAAAATAACAGCGATATAAGGCAGAACACGAATTTCATGTTTTTTTCCATAATAATTTTGATCCACACTTGGAATTTGCAGTGGAATTAACACCCGGTAGAGCTCAAAAACTTCGGGAACATCCTCAGAGGTGAAAACCAGAAATAAAATGAAACTTTGGGAACAAAATCCTTGAGGAAAGAACTCGAAACGAGGAAATTTTGAGGAAATTTCTCGTAAATTTCTCATAAATTTCTCGTAAATTTCTCGTAAATTTCTTGGAAATTTCGAGGAAATTTTGAGGAAATTTTGAGGAAATTTCTCGGAAATTTCAAGGAAGTTTTGAGGAAATTTCAAGGAAATTTCTCGGAAATTTCTCGGAAATTTTGAGGAAATGTTAAGGAAATTTTGAAAAAATTTTGAGGAAATTTTGAGGAAGTTTTGAGGAAATTTCAAGGAAATTTCTTGTAAATTTGTCATAAATTTCTCATAAATTTCTCACAAATTTCCCATAAATTTCTCATCAATTTCTCATCAATTTCCCATAAATTTCCCATAAATCCCTCATCAATTTCACATAAATTTCTCCCATTTTCACCTTACCTTGGCAGCTTTGGTGAACTTGGCGGCGTTGTAATCTCCGCCCATGCGCAGCACGTCCTCGGTGCAGTAATAGAACTCGGAGAATCCATAAAATTCGCTGTCATGGAAGCGCAGCGGGGGCTGGAAAACGCCGTTCAGGGAGCTCTGGGTCTCGTTGGTTTTGTTGAGGAAGGGCTGGAGCAGCTCCCGGCACCGCTGGAAATCGCCGGAGCCGCGAAGGTGCAGCGTCAGCCCCTGCTGCTCGATCTGATCGCGGGCGTCCAGCGGCAGGCACGGGTCCAGCGACGGGGAATCGGGGCTCAGACCCGTCTGGGTGCCGAGAATTCTGTGGGGAAAATCAGATTTATGGAATAGAGAAACTGGGAGAACATTGGGATTGCTCCAGGGATGGGGAATCGGGGCTCAGACCCCTCTGGGTGCCCAGGACTCTGCGGGGGAATGGGGATTTATGGAATAGAGAAAATGGGATAACCCCAGGAATGGGGAATCGGGGCTCAGACCCGTCTGGGTGCCGAGAACTCTGGGGAAAATCAGATTTATGGGGTGGAGAAAATGGGATTGATCCAGGGATGGGGAATCGGGGCTCAGGCCAGTCTGGGTGCCGAGAATTCTGTGGGGAAATTCGGATTTATGGGGCGGAGAACCTTGGAAAACCTTGGGATTATCCCAGGGACGGGGAATCGGGGCTCAGACCCGTCTGGGTGCCGAGAATTCTGTGGGGAAATTCGGATTTATGGAATAGAGAAACTGGGAGAACATTGGGATTGCTCCAGGGATGGGAGGAATTCAGATTTATGGAATAGAGAAACTGGGATTGATCCAGGGACAGATCCAGGGACGGGAATCGGGGCTCAGACCCGTCTGGGTGCCGAGAACTCTGTGGGGGAAATTCAGACTTTTGGTGTGGAGAACATTGGAGAACATTGTGATTGCTCCAGAGACGGGGAATCGGGGCTCAGACCCGTCTGGGTACCGAGAATTCTGCAGGAAAAATCAGATTTATGGGGTGGAGAAAATGGGATTGATCCAGGGATGGGGAATCAGGGCTCAGGCCGGTCTGGGTGCCCAGGGCTCTGCAGGGAAATTCGGATTTATGGGGTGGAGAACCATGGAGAACATTGGGATTATCCCAGGGATGGGGAGTCGGGGCTGAGACCCGTCTGGGTGCCGAGAACTCTGGGGAAAATCAGATTTATGGGGTGGAGAAAATGGGATTGCTCCAGGGACAGATCCAGGGATGGGGAGTCAGGGCTGAGACCGGTCTGGATGCCCAGGGATCAATGGTTCCCATAAACCCAACCTCAATTTCCCCTTTTTCACCTTTTTTTCCTGACCCCATTACTCCTTTTCCTGCTGATTTTCCCTTCCCTTTTCATGAAAACACCTCGACTTCTCCCCACAACCCCCAGCCCTCTCCCACCCTCCAGAACGCCCCGATCCCGTTATCCCCAAAAATCTCTCCTCACAACTCCCAGCCCTCTCCAACCATTCCCACCCTCTCAGGGCTCAATTCCTCCCATAAACCCAACCTCAATTTCCCCATTTTCACCTTTTTTTGGTGACCTCATTATTCCCTTTCCTGCCCCTCCAGCTCCTGCAAAACCCCTCTCCTTTCTCTGATTTTCCCCAAAAAACACCACGAGTTCACCCCACAAACCCCAACCATTCCCACCCTCCCAGGCCTCAATTTCCCATAAACCCAACTTCAGTTTCTCCTTTTTCACCTTTTTCTGGTGATCCCATTACTCCCTGTCCTGCCCCTCCAGCTCCTCCAAAAACCCCCTTTCCTTTCCTCAATTTTCCCCAAAAATCTCTCTCCACAGCCCCCAGCCCTCTCCCACCCTCCAGAACGCCCCGATCCCGTTCCCCCCAGCCTGGAACCCCCCAAATTCCCCCGAAGATCCCCCACACCTGTTCCTGAGCAGGGTGCTGGCTGCCAGGCTCTCCTGGTACCTCTGGCGGGCAGCGTTGCCCCCGAACCCCAGGAAAGTGGCGACGTAGACGCGGTAAACGTGCTCGGTCTGGTGGGCATCGCAGCCCAAATTGAATTCTGCCAGGAGNGGGATGGGAGGAATTCAGATTTATGGAATAGAGAAACTGGGATTGATCCAGGGACAGATCCAGGGACGGGAATCGGGGCTCAGACCCGTCTGGGTACCGAGAATTCTGCAGGAAAAATCAGATTTATGGGGTGGAGAAAATGGGATTGATCCAGGGATGGGGAATCAGGGCTCAGGCCGGTCTGGGTGCCCAGGGCTCTGCAGGGAAATTCGGATTTATGGGGTGGAGAACCATGGAGAACATTGGGATTATCCCAGGGATGGGGAGTCGGGGCTGAGACCCGTCTGGGTGCCGAGAACTCTGGGGAAAATCAGATTTATGGGGTGGAGAAAATGGGATTGCTCCAGGGACAGATCCAGGGATGGGGAGTCAGGGCTGAGACCGGTCTGGATGCCCAGGGATCAATGGTTCCCATAAACCCAACCTCAATTTCCCCTTTTTCACCTTTTTTTCCTGACCCCATTACTCCTTTTCCTGCTGATTTTCCCTTCCCTTTTCATGAAAACACCTCGACTTCTCCCCACAACCCCCAGCCCTCTCCCACCCTCCAGAACGCCCCGATCCCGTTATCCCCAAAAATCTCTCCTCACAACTCCCAGCCCTCTCCAACCATTCCCACCCTCTCAGGGCTCAATTCCTCCCATAAACCCAACCTCAATTTCCCCATTTTCACCTTTTTTTGGTGACCTCATTATTCCCTTTCCTGCCCCTCCAGCTCCTGCAAAACCCCTCTCCTTTCTCTGATTTTCCCCAAAAAACACCACGAGTTCACCCCACAAACCCCAACCATTCCCACCCTCCCAGGCCTCAATTTCCCATAAACCCAACTTCAGTTTCTCCTTTTTCACCTTTTTCTGGTGATCCCATTACTCCCTGTCCTGCCCCTCCAGCTCCTCCAAAAACCCCCTTTCCTTTCCTCAATTTTCCCCAAAAATCTCTCTCCACAGCCCCCAGCCCTCTCCCACCCTCCAGAACGCCCCGATCCCGTTCCCCCCAGCCTGGAACCCCCCAAATTCCCCCGAAGATCCCCCACACCTGTTCCTGAGCAGGGTGCTGGCTGCCAGGCTCTCCTGGTACCTCTGGCGGGCAGCGTTGCCCCCGAACCCCAGGAAAGTGGCGACGTAGACGCGGTAAACGTGCTCGGTCTGGTGGGCATCGCAGCCCAAATTGAATTCTGCCAGGAGGTTTTTGGCCACTTCCTCCTGAAATCAGGTGAAAATGGGGTCAGGGAGGTCAAAAAAATAAATTTTGCAGCCCAAATTGAATTCTGCCAGCAGATTTTTCCTCCTGAAATCAGAACAAAATAGGATCAGTGAGATCCTAAAATCCAATTTTGCAGCCCAGGTTGAATTCTGCCAGGAGGTTTTTGGCCACTTCCTCCTGAAATCAGGTGAGAATGGGGTCAGTCAGATCCTAAAATTAAATTTTGCAGCCCAAACTGAATTTTTGGCCACTTTCTCCTGAAATCAGTTAAAATGGGATCAGTCAGATCCTAAAATTAAATTTTGCAGCCCAAATTTAATTCCAACAGCAGATTTTTGGCCATTTCCACCTGAAATCAGTCACATCCTAAAATTCAATTTCGCAGCCCAAACTGAATTCTGCCAGGAGGTTTTTGGCCACTTCTTCCTGAAATCAGGAATAAATGGCATCAGTGAGATCCCAAAAATTAAATTTCGCAGCCCAAATTGAATTCTGCAAGAAGATTTTTGGCCATTTGCTCCCAAAATCAAGAGAGAACGGGATCAGTGAGATCTTAAAATTAAATTTTGCAGTACAAATTGAATTCCAACAGCAGATTTTTGGCCATTTCCTCCTGAAATCAGGAATAAACGGGGTCAGTGAGACAAAAAAATTAAACTTCACAGGCCAGATTGAATTCCAACAGCAGATTTTTCCTCCTGAAATCAGGAGAAAATGGAATCAGTCAAATCCTAACATTCAAAAAGGCAGTAAAAAGGAAAAAAAAAGCATCAAAAGGGAAGCAAAAGGCAAAAAAAAGGAAGAAAAAAGCTTTAAAAGGGAAGAAAAAGGCATTAAAAAGGAAAAGACATAAAAAAGGAAGGAAATGACATAAAAAAGGAAGGAAAAGGCATTTTAAACAAAAAGGCATAAAAAAGGAAGGAAAAGGCAGAAAAAAGGCAAAGGCAAAAAAAAGGAAAACACATAAAAAAGGAAAGAAAAGGCACTAAGAAACGAAGAAAAAAGCATAAAAAATGAAAAGGCATAAAAAAGAAAACAAAAGGCATTAAAAAAGGAAGGAAGTGACACAAAAAAAGGAAGGAAGTTACATAAAAAAGGAAGGAAAACGCAAACAAAAGGAAGGAAAAAATCTTAAAAAGTGAAAGAAAAGGCATTAAAAGAGAAGGAAAATGCACAAAAAAGGAAAAGGCATAAAAAAGGAAGGAAATTACATTAAAAAAGGAAGGAAAGGACATAAAAAAGGAAAGAAAAAGGCATTAAAATAGAAGGAAAATGCACAAAAAAGGAAAAGGCATAAAAAAGGAAGGAAATTACATTAAAAAAGGAAGGAAAGGACATAAAAAAGGAAAGAAAAAGCATAAAAAGGGAAGGAAAATGCACGAAATAGGAAAAGGCATAAAAAAGGAAGGAAAAACCATGAAAAGAATTGTGAGGGAAGGGAATTGTGGATAATGACCTGCTGTGGGGAGGCAAAGCTTACACTTTTGGGGACCTCGTAGGCGATCTGCGTGGAAACACCACCCATGTCCAAAATCCCCACGGTTCTCCGGCGGAAAACGGGATCACGGTGCTCACTGCCAGGGATGGGCACCTCCACCACTGCCTCGTCCTCTGGAACAGGGAAAAATGATCAGAAAATGGGGAAAAAAATCAGAAAATGGGGAAAAATTACCAGAAAATGGGGAAAAATCAATGGGAAAATGACCAGGAAAATCACTGGGAAAATCAGTGAGAAATTGGGAAAAAATAAGTGGGAAACAGGGGAAAATTCACTGGAAAAATTGTCAGAAAATGGGGAAAAATCACAGGGAAAATCAGTGAGAAATAGGGAAAAAATCACTGGGAAAATGATCAGAAAATGGGGAAAAATCACTGGGAAAATCATCAGGAAACGGGGAAAAATCAATGTGAAACATAGAAAAATCACTGGGAAAATGATCAGGAAATGGGGAAAAAATCACTGGGAAAATCAGGAAAATCAGTGGGAAAATCAGTGGGAAAATCACTGGGAAAATTATAGGGAAATGGGAAAAAAATCACCAGAAAATGGGGGAAAAATACCGGCAAAATCACTGGGAAAATTAGTGAGAAATGGGGAAAAAATCACTGTGAAAATCATCAGAAAACGGGGAAAAAATCACTGGGAAAATGATCAGGAAATGGGGAAAATAATCACGGGGATGCAGCCAGGGAAAGCCCAGAGCAGGAGATGCCATTTGTGGGAGTGGAGAGAACATCTGGACGGGAACAGCCCCAACATCTGGCCAGGAATATCCTCCCAGCATCTGGCTGGAAATGCTCCTGTTCCCAACATCTGGCTGGAAATTCCCCATCTGGCCCCAACATTTGGCTGGAAATGTTCAAACATCTGGATAGAAATGGATCCCAACATCTGGCTGGAAACAGCCTCAACATCTGATTGGAAATGCTCCAGTCCCCCACATCTGGATGGAAATGCATCCCAACATCTGGCTGGAAATTCCCCAACATCTGGCTAAGAACAGCCCCAACATCTGGCTGAAAATGCGCCATTTTCTGGCGCAACATCTGTCTGGAAATGCATCAATCCCCAAAATCTGGCTGGGAATTCCCCATCTCCCCCAAACATCTGGCTGGAAATGCATCCCAACATCTGG